CTGGCTTGGTCCTCTGGGACGTGATGCGTCGTGAAGAGGGAAGGTTGAGCGGCACTCGACGAAGCGGGGTGAGCACTCGTCAACGACACCGCGAAAGACATGGTGTGTCGAGTAGTGTTCTCCTCCTCCGCGACCAGAGTCTCGGGCGCCGTCACATCCTGGGCCATCCTGCCGGCAGACGCTTTCCTGCTCCTCCTGTGCTTCAGTGGTTCCTCATCGTCATCATCATCGGGAAGAGTGATAACGACATTGGATGGAGCTACAGAAAAGAATCAGAATTAGGGACGAAGAGTCAATCGACTAAAAACGGAATTAAGAGTGTGGTACCAGGTTTTGAGGTTGTGGCATCCTCCATCTCATGGTCGTCAGCCCTGGCTGAGGTCTCGGAAGTAGCAGCACTATAACTCCAAAAATTCAGTCGGTGAACTCAAGTGTCATTCAAAGATAAAGCCCGCACAAAGCAAGAAGACTCAAGCAGCATGTTTACCCTGATATGGTGGGGATGGACACTTTCATCTTCGCCAGGACCTTGGTCGGCTTCGGCGGTGCCACCCTGGACTGCTTCGGAGCCTTTTCAGTCGGCGCCGGAGAAGTGGTCCGAGGGCGCTTGGTCGACTACGCGATAGCCGCGACCCCCTTACCCCGTTCAGTCGCAGGGTCATGGGCAAGCTTCGACCGCCTTTCCAAGCGCGATGGTGCGACCTCCTCCTCCTCCTCTTCTTCTTCCTCCTCATCGTCATCATCATCATCATCATCTTCAGCAGCATCCGAGTCCCACTCCTCCTGGCTCTCGCCCCCACTCGCTTCTCCCTCTTCAGTCGGAGTCTGTGCTCCATTGGGCATCGAGTACAGTTAGGTGAGGGACTGTTAGACATCAAGACAAAGTTCAATCGACCAATTTGCAAAGAAAACGGAAATAAGTATGGCAAGAATACAATTGGAGGTTGAGTGGACATACCTTGTCGGGAATGCTGCAATGGTCGAGTGGAGGAATTCTCCTGGCTCCACGAGGGTTATCCTTGTTCCCAGTGACAGCGGCCATCCACCTTTCCAGCGTGGCATCGTCGACTGCTTCTGGGTTGATCCGAGTCTCATCTTCAGTCCCGCGGTACAACCACATGCAATGGCTCCGGAACTGAAGAGGCTGGATACGCCGCCTAAGAAAAACCTCCAGAAGATCCATACCCGTTACTCCCTCCCGAACCAACTGAACTACGCGCTCCATCAGCATCTTCACGTCGGCTTTCTCCTCCGGAATCACCTTCAGAGAGGAGGGTTTGTTGACTCGGTCTATGGTAAACTGAGGGAGTCCACTCGACTGCCCAGGCGTTGACTCATTCTGGCAGTAGAACCAGGTCGACTGCCAGCCTCTGACTGACTCGGGGAACGTCATGGCTGGGAAGGTGCTCTTGTTCCTCATCTGGATCCCCAGACCTCCACACATCTGGACAACCTTGGTTTTATCGTCGTCTGGACTCGCCTTCTTCACGGTCTAAGAGCGACACATGAATATGTGCTTGAACAGGCCCCAATGCGGTCGGCAACCCAGAAAATTCTCACACATGGACACAAATGCGGCAAGGTAGGCGATAGAGTTCGGAGTGAAGTGGTGGAGTTGCGCTCCAAAGAAGTTCAAGAAGCCACGGAAGAAAATACTCGGCGGCAAAGAAAACCCGCGGTCGACGTGGGTAGCCAGAAGGACACACTCACCCTCTTCCAGTTGGGGTTGCCACTCGTTCCGCAGGAGCCTTGCTGCTCCGTGGGGGATCAGGCCGTCGTTTGCCATATCGAGGAGATCCTTCTCCGTGATGGTCGACCGGATCCAATCTCCTTGGACCTAGCCGTTCGGCAGACGAGATCTAGACGAAGACCCGCCGCGACTGGTGGATCTCCCCTTCGCCTTCCCCGTCGCCGACGCCTTCTTCGCGCGCTCCAGCGCCGCCGTCTTCTCCTTCACCATGGCTGCCGGCGAGGCGCACGAGGAGCAGTTGTGCGGAGGCGAGAACGGGCGCAATGGGCAGAGGCAGGGAGAGCAGAGAGAGAATGCAGAGGTACTGTTCAAAAAGCCTCGCTGGGCGCCTTTATAAGATCCCTTCCGAGTGGATGACAGGTGGGCCCAGCCGATCCAATCACATCCCGAAACAGTCATGCGGACGAGATACGTGGCGAAAAAGGCGGCGCGAGAATCGAAGCGTTTATGCCCTATCCCATCCGAACGCCGCGGTCCGCCCCGCTTCACGCGCTTCCCCAAATTTCGTATCCCGCAGAATCCGCAAACGGCAGATTAGTCTGTCAGACGCGGGATTTCCTGCGATCCGTCGCTCGGGAATTTTTAAGTTCAAAAGGTCACTCGACGAAAGGAAAGAATGGATCGAGTCGACTGAAGAAAAGTTGCTAGTTATCAACAAAGAGATTATTGGTCCAAGACAACGCATGACCAGCATGCAAAAGCCAGTTGGAAACAACATCAACTCCTTCCTCACTTAAGCCTCAATCCATTCGGGGGCTAATGATGGAGTCATGTACCTAGGGTAGGGTCATAGACCTGATCTAAATACCCTACCCAAGGACACCCTTAGAAGAAATCACCTTCCAGTCGACTTATGAGGACTCCACTCGACATACTTGAAGGACTCGACCATGAAGACTCACTCGACCACCAGAAGGTCAAGAAGCACTCTGTACTGCAACGGTCTGTAATTAAGTAGGCTTTATGGTAGTTAAGACGCTTTATGTGGGGCGTTACCAGTAACGTCCCAGACTTAATTTACTTTAAACCCCGCATTACTGAGGGCCGGAGGGGTCTGGCAGACACTATATAAGCCACCCCCCACCTCAGTGTAAAGGGTTCGCACCCCTGTAATTCATATACACATAATCCACTCGACCGCCTCCGGACTCCGAGACGTAGGGCTTTTACTTCCTCCGAGAAGGACCTGAACTCGTACATCTCTTGTGTTTACAACCTCTCCATAGTTAGGACCTTGCCTCTCCATACCTACCCCCCACTCTACTGTCAGACTTAGAACCACGACACTATCGTCATCGGCCGGACTCCAAGACTATGAAGATACAAGATTGAAGACTTCGTCCCGTGTCCGGATGGGACTTTCCTTGGCGTGTAAGGCAAGCTTGGCGATACGTATATGTAGATCTCCTACCATTGTAACCGACTCTGTGTAACCCTAGCCCTCTCCGGTGTCTATATAAACCGGAGGGTTTTAGTCCGTAGGACGAACAACCATTACAACAATAATACCATAGGCTAGCTTCTAGGGTTTAGCCTCCTTGATCTCATGGTAGATCCACTCTTGTACCACCCATATCATCAATATCAATCAAGCAGGAGTAGGGTTTTACCTCCATCGAGAGGGCCCGAACCTGGGTAAAAACATCGTGTCCCTTGTCTCCTGTTACCATCTGCCTAGACGCACAGTTCGGGACCCCCTACCCGAGATCCGCCGGTTTTTACACCGACAAGGAGCGACTTAGAGCAAGGTTGATTGATTGGAGTGAACAATTTGTATCTCTGGGAAACAAAGAAATTTTGATCAAAGCTGTTGCACAGGCCATTCCTACATATGTGATGAGTGTCTTGAAACTGCCGGCATCTGTCTGTGACGACTTAACACGAATGATGAGGCAGTACTGGTGGGGTGTGGAGAACGGTAAGAGGAAAATGGCCTGGCTTAGTTGGAAAAAGATGGTCGTCCCTAAGTCTATGGGGGGCATGGGATTTCAGGACATGAGAGCATTCAACCAGGCCTTGCTGGCTAAGCAGGCTTGGCGTTTATTGGATCACCCAAACAGCTTGTGTGCAAGACTATTAAGAGCAAAATATTATCCCCATGGTAATCTGTTAGACACGGTGTTTCCAACCAGTTCGTCACCAGTGTGGAAGGGGATTGTACATGGGCTTGAGCTGGTTAAGAAAGGAATTATTTGGCGTGTGGGTGACGGAACACTGATAAGAACTTGGAGAGATGCTTGGATCCCAAGAGGTCACAACTTTCGGCCGATAACACCGAAACATAATTGCAGACTCAACTGGGTGGCGGATTTCTTGAATGAACACGGTGCATGGGATGAACAAAGGCTGAGAGAACACTTGGGACGTGGACGTAAGAGAAATTCTTAAGATCCGCACTTCACCTAGGAATGGTCAAGACTTTATAGCTTGGTTCCCGGAAAGAAGCGGACATTTTACGGTAAGGAGTGCATACCGGCTGGCTACTATTGGCGGCATTCGGGAGAGGACACCGGCGACCAGCAACAACCCTTCCGGGGAACGGCCGGTGTGGCAATGTATTTGGGCAGCTAAGGTTCCCCTAAAGATGAGGATATTGGCGTGGAAAGTAGTCTCGGGGGCACTTGCAACAAATTCTTGCAAACAGCATCGACATATATCCACAAGAGACATTTGCCCCTTGTGTGCGAGAGAGAAGGAATCCAGTTTCCATGCTCTTGTCACATGCGATCATGCGCAGGCGGTATGGCGAGAAATGAGGGCGGTATGGAATTTACCACGCCAGGAACTCCTGCATGACACAGGGCAGGACTGGTTACTAAACTTGCTGACAAACTGTGACGAGTACATGAGGGATTGTGTAATTATGTTGGTCTGGCGCATTTGGTCGCTCCGCTCAGATGTGACTCATGGGAAGGAAGTTCCTCCTATGGCTACAACTGTATCCTTTTTGCACAGCTACATGCATTCCCTAGATCTGTCAAGGAGGTTTTCGACAGAGGACATCATCAAAGGGAAAATGCCGGTAGGGCGAGATGCGCCGGCTACTGCACGGGTGGAGGCTAGAGTTCAACCATGGTCGAAGCCACCACCGGGGAAGGTGGCCCTGTCGGTTGATGGTGCTTATTTACACACCGATGGCTCAGCTGCGGCAGGAATGGTATTGAGGAATCATGATGGGAGCGTTATCTTTTCAGCTTATAGATACATATTTAACTGTAACGAAGCATTGGAAGCAGAACTGCATGCATTGATGCAAGGTATGGCGCTAGCAGTCCAACATTGTGAGCTACCTGTCATAGTCCAGTCGGACTCTTCTGTCGCCATCTCCGCCCTGTCGGGCGACAGTTTATCTAGATCTGCCTATGGGCACTTAGTTGCTGAGATTCGTCACCTTATGATAGATAGAGTTTTCATTCCTATGAAGATTAGTCGTGTGCAGAATAGGGTAGCAGATCGTTTGGCCCTGTATAGTCGTACAGAGCGTACCACTGCTGTATGGCTTGGCCGAGGTCTATCGAGGATCTCTTGCCTCGCGATTGTAACCCTATACCTCTGGAATAAAACTCTTCTATCAGCGCAAAAAAAAACACAGGTGCATATGAGCCCAGGCTAAAAGGATTTCGGCAAACTTTCACCAATCCTAGAGCTCGTCGCATTCAGCTGGCTCGAACGACAGCACGCCCCCCTCAAGATCATACAGAAAGTGCATGCTCTGCTGCTGCACGCTGCCGAGCACCGACATCCCCCGCATGCTCACCATCCCGAGGCAGGCCACCCCAGCGTTCCGGTCCTCCACAACGTAGCTCTCCCTGGGAAGCGCCATGTCCGCGCCGTCGAAGTGGAACACCAGGCGCGGCACGTCCACCGCCTCGGTCTTCCCCTCCGGTGCAGCGAAGCAGAGGCTGAGGCCGAGGTGCGCGCCGCTGGCCAGCGGGAGCCCAACGCGCGCCGCGACCGCGCGGGCCAGCACCACGAACGCGCGCTCCTCCAGCGCGGTGAACGTCGTGCCGGAATCGATGATGAACCCGCCGCCGCCCATGGGCGACAGCTGGAACACGGCGGGGTCGATCGGCAGCAGGGTCTTGCCGACGGTGATCCCTTCCAGCGTGAGGTAGTAATATGAGCTCCTGCGCCCGCCGGCTGGGTTCGGCGCGAACGGCGTGGACTGGGCGGTGGTCGAGAGGGTCGCCGACGGGCCTAAGAAGAGAGGGCTCGCCGCCTTGTCGCTGAAGGGCGTGAAGCAGTAGGAGAACCTGGTGATGCCCAGCTGGGACACGAGCGAAAGTGGCCCCCTTCCCATCCCGACCAGACCGGACGAGTTGTCCGTGCTGCCAAGGTTCTCCGTGCCGCAGCCGAACGCGATGCCGTGCACGGCAGTGCCTGAGCCGAGCGTCAACGTCTCGGTGGCGAGGGCGCCGTCTGTAGAGGTGCCGTCGCCGTAGGAGAAATAGTACGGACAGCCGGGATCGGGGGCCGAGCAATGGTACCTCGGGTCTCGGAGCGCCTCGCACAGCGATGAGCGGCACGACACGTTGGCGTATGTCGCCGACCTGGCCGGCGCGTACAGCGGCGTGGGCTGCGGGAAGCACTTCCGGCAGGGCGCGTCGCACTGCGTCCAGATGAGGTCGCTGCCCGTGTCGAGGACCGCGGTGATCGCTAGCGGCGGCGTGCCGATGGCGAGGTCGACGAGGTACGTTGCCGCGCTCGCGTGAACGGCCGCCGTTTCATCAGCACCGCCGCTCTGCAGCGATGCAGGGGATGGAGGGGCAGCGGCGAGGAGGCCGTTGACTCGGCGGTGGCTCCGTTCGGCAGCGCGACGGATGCGCTCGATCCCCGTGAAGTCACCGCGGGTGTCTGCGTGCGTTAGCTCAAGACGGATGCCACGGCTCGATGCTGAGGAAATGGCAAACGACGGCAACAAGAGGAGCAACCAGAGGAGAAGAGATGTCCCCGATGCCATTGTTCTCAAGAAGAGATACGAGATGTCAGTATAGCTTATTGGTGATTTTAGGTGTTCATGTTTTAGATCGTGCTGGATACAGTTATATTTGACGAATGAGAACTGTTCTCGGTGTTGGCTGTTACTGTATTCTTTTTGCATCATGGATGATGGCTGCGAGGTGCATCCGCACGTCGCTACAACCTTTGGCGTCTGCCCGCCAGCTCTGCCAGAGGAGTAACCCTACACCTACGTAAACAGTTTTTTGTTGGACGAATTAGGGAAGTGGGGGCCATCCACTTGAAATCAGGGGTGGAGAGGTTTGTTAGGAAGATTACGTAGGAGGAGAACGTAAGTCTACTTAGGTGTAGCATTATTGCTGCCAGAGCATCTACAACCGGACTCGAAAATCTGTCGCCCTAAACGTCCGCCGTAATGTACAGGCGACATTTGAAGTGCATAATTCAAATATTAAACTCCTCGATTATCATTATGGGTCTCAGGGATTCTTATGCATGTGCAGAAAATTCATAATCTTATCTGCATCTTAAACCGGGATGTGGACTTGTTCTCCGGGTTTCTCAAAAGCATGGGTTCGGGTTGCCCCTTTGACGGTGTCATACACAAGGTGGTGTGAGAGCTTGACTTAATATGAATGATAGACTACTCATATTAACATGGTCAAGCGAGAGGGAAAATCCAACGCCCTGCTGCATAGATAAATTCTTCTGCAACATTGCCCTAGGAGGTGTCCTTCCCCTCCTGCCTGCTCATGGCTGCATCTACATCAGTTTCAGACCATTGCCCACTGATTTCTTGCCTCCTCTGTGGCCCCGCACATAAAGGCAAGATTCAAATATGAGAGCTTTTGGCCAAGTTTTCCTCACTTCCATGAGACTGTGGCAAAAGCTTGGGAACTCCCGGTCGTTCATTCCTGTATGTTCACCGAGATCAAAATCAAAATGAAAACGAGTGGCGGCTAACCTGAAGATTTGGAGCAATTCTCTGTTCAGCGGCGCGAGACTGAAGTTTCACATCACCTCCGAGGTCATATTACTGCTAGATGTCGCGCAGGAATCAAGGGCCCTGTCGCTCGCATAATCCAGGCTTCATAAGCTACTGAAGACGAGGTTGCTTGGCCTTGCTGCTATCGAGCATATGAGGAGAAGACATGCCTCCAAAATCACTTGGTAGCGCGCGGGGGATGCCAGCACTAGGTTGTTTCATGTAAAGCTCTGCTTTCGTCGGAGAAAAAAAATCCATATGTTTGTTACAATCGGCTGGAGTTACAGTTACCAGCCATGAGGACAAGGTCGCGATCACCCACGACCACTTCTCTACTTTGCTTGGAACCAAATTGAGACGAGCATGTATGATCAACTAGGAGGAACTTCACCTGCCCCAATTGGATACCGCTGGCCTCGATCCGCCTTTTTCGAAAGCGGAAGTGTGGGCGGCAATCAAGGCTTGCTATTAGAAACAGCCCCAGGCCCAGATGGTTTCTCGGGAGGTTTCTTCCGAACCAGTTGGCCAATCATCAAGCAGGATAGCATGGCAATTTTCGACATTCTACCACCTCGCCAGTGACAGCTTGGCGTCCCTCAACTCGGCCTCGATCGTTTTGTTGCCAAAAAAGGATGGGGCAATGGAGATGAGTCACTTCCGGCCCATCAACTTGATACATTCCAATGGTAAACTAATTGCCAAAGTGCTCTCGATCGGACTCTCTTAGGTGATCCAAGACTTCATATCCCCGGCCCGGAGCGTTTTCCAGAAGAACAAATGCATACAAGACAACTACCTATATGTTCAAAATTGTGTTAGGGCACTTCATAGATCACGCAAGCCTGCTCTTCTTGTAAGTGCATCTAGTGTCACCCCTAGTTGGTTTTGGAGTATTGACGACAAACGTGGTTTAGGAACTAATGTGTTTGTGAGATTCACAGGAGAAACAGGTAGAAGTCCCTATTGATTCGGTTTACCCATCGAAGATGACCCCTAAAAATGTATGAAGACATTGAAGACAATGGTGGTTCGCGAAGACATTCACATCGAAGATAATGACGTGTGAAGACATTCGCTTGAAGACAATGGAGTGCGAAGACGTAGTTTCTTTCGTAGTTTCATTTTCTTCTTTCTTGAGTCATAGGAACCACCGAACTGTCAAGTGGGGTCCAAGTGAACAAAGTCAGAAAACTGACGTGATGCTCAACCAAATCCTATGTCTTCGAGAGAAGACAATTGAGAGAAAATCTTATCATGAGCTGGATAAGTCAGCTTTACTTGTAGCCCAAGTCAAGCCGCCGCGTGTCTTTGGAATCTGACCATTGTACATGTGCCAGTTCCTTAGTGACTCAGGGTTATTTCGGACATATCATGTCGGGTTGCCTCCTGGCTATAAATAGCCCGCCCCTACACCATAAATTGGTGGCTGCTCAGAGTTAGTGCACATCTTTTGTCATTTGAGAGCAACCCACCTCCGAAGCCTTTGAGAGAAAATCCTTGCGAGGACAAAACCCAGAAAATCCAAAGCCCAAAGAGTGTTGGCATCAACGAAGTCTTTCTATCCGCGTGATCTGAAGACTTATTACACTTGAATACTATGATCTTCCAGTCGGTTAGGCGTCGCGTTCTGAGGATCCAAGAGTCATTGTGGATCGCCGGTGAACAAAGTCTGTGAAGGTTTGGAAGTCTACCTTGAAGACTTACGAGAGTGATTGGGCAAGGACTAAGTGACCTTAGCTCAAGGTGAATAAGATGAATACATGGTCTTCTGAGTTCAATATCAACCTCCCTAACCAGACGTACAATTGTCACAGCAACTAGAACTGTTCTACCAAATCTTTTTCTTCGTCAAGCAACTGGTTCTATCTCCTCACTCCTTTAGTTACAGTTCAGTCTCGTGAAGTCATTGCTTGCCTGCTTTGTTTGAGTTTGTTGTGTGAAGAAATTCTCTCTGATTGCATATTTGGCTTCATACTGTCTTCCTATTCTGATCCAAATCTGCCTAGCTGCCATTTGTCTTTGTGCTTACTTTGTACTATTTCTTTGATTATGGCATGGCTAGTGTAGTTTATTTTCCACTACATTGTGTAGGTGTTGTTTGGTCGTTTGTCTTTGGAGACATTGCTTGTCTTGAAGACTTCCATAAAAAATGCCTATTCAGCCCCCTCTAGTTGATAACTAGCACTTTCACTTCTAATTAAGCTAGACATCGCTAGGGCCTTTGACTCGGTCTCATGGGAATACTTGCTCGAGCTGCTCCAGTATCTAAGCTTCAACGCTCGATGGTGAAATTGGGTGGCTCTGCTGCTCTCATCTACTTCCTCGTAGTGCCTCCTTAACGACATTCCCGGAGAAACTATCCTACACAAGCACGGCCAGAGGCAGGGCGATCCTCTGTCACCTCTGTAATTTATCCTGGCCATAGATCCCCTACACTAACTCCTCGCCACCGCAACTGACAAAGGCGTTCTTTCTATGGTGCCCAACAAAACTGTTAGGTCTAGGAGTAGCTTATATGATGGCGATGTGATTCTTTTCACCAATCCAGTTAAGCAGGAGATAGATGCCCTAATAAAGATCCTTCCCAGGTTCGGCGATGCAACAAGACTCAAAATCAACCTCGACAAATCCTCTATAGTTGCGATCCAGTGCGATGGCATCAACTTGCACGATGTGCTTCAGAGCTTCGATGGGCAGCTAGTGAATTTCTCAATTAGGTACCTAGGTCTACCCGTCACCATCTCCAGGCTTAGGGGTGTTCATCCGATATTCATCCTGGAATGTATCCGCGTGCGATTAACTGGGTGGAAGGGCCGTCTACTTTCCTTGGCAGGCAGACGGGTGCTGGTCCGCTCTGTGCTCACGGCCATGCCAACTTTCGCCCTCTCGGTACTGCGGGCACCGGCCAAGTTCTTCAAAGACATTGAAAAATCGCATCGTTGCTTCCTTTGGGCTGGCGACAAGGAGCTCAATGGTGGCCACTACAAGGTTAGCTTGAAGCTTGTCTGCTCCCCAATTCAGCACGGCAGGCTCAAAATTCAGAACCTATAGAAGTTCAGTAGGGCCTTCTGATACGTCTCCAACGTATCTATAATTTTTAATTGTTCCATGCTGTTATATTACCATTCTTGGATGTTTTACAATCATTATGTAGTCATTTTATATCATTTTTTGTTACTAACCTATTGACATAGTTCCCAGTGCCAGTTGTTGTTTTCTGCTTGTTTTTTACATCACAGGAAATCAATACCAAACGGAGTCCAAACGCAGCGAAACTTTTTGTTGATTTTTTCTAGACCAGAAGACACCTACTGGGCCAAAGAAGTACCAGAGGGGTGATCCGAGGTGAGCACAACCCACCAGGGCCTGTTCGGGGGCCCAGGTGGGCTATGCCCACCTCGGTGGCCTCCCACACCGACTCTTTGCTGTGTAAATACCCCAATATTCTAGAAACCCTAGGGGAGTCGACGAAAATCAATTCCAGCCGCCGCAAGTTCCAGAAACACCAGATCCAATCTAGACACCATCATGGAGGGGTTCATCATGTCCATTGGTGCCTCTCCGATGGTGCATGAGTTGTACTTTGTAGACCTACGGGTCTGTAGTTAGTAGTTATATGGCTTCCTCTCTCTCTCTCTCTCTCTCTCTCTCTCCCTCTCTTGATTCTCAATACAATGGTCTCTTGAGATCCATATGATGTAAGTCTTTTTGCGGTGTGTTTGTTGGGATCCGATGAAGTTTGAGTTTATGATTAGATCTATGTTTTTATCCCTGAAAGTTATTTGAGTCTTCTTTGATCTCTTATATGCATGATTGATTATAGCCTTGTATTTCTTCTCTGATATTTGGATTTTTTTTGGCCAACTTGATCTATTTATCTTGCAATGGGACGAGGTGCTTTGTGATGGGTTCGATCTTACGGTGCTTGATCCCAGTGATAGAAGGGAAAACGACACGTATGTATCGTTGCTATTAAGGATAACTAGATAGGGTCTATTTCCATATAAATAGATCTT